TTTATTCATGTCTTTTTTCTTTTTATGTTTATTTTATTATCTTTGCTTTTTAATGACTGTTTTTAAATGCCATTTTCTTAATGTCTTTCATTTTTGTAAAGCACTTTGAATTGCCTTGTGTTGAAAAGTGCTATATAAATAAACGTGCCTTGCCTTTCACTCTTCATTTGACATGTTTGTCATTTAAGCGCCTTGAGCAGTTTGTTAATATGACAATCATTTGTTTGCTTTGACATGTTCAGCCATATTGGGCAGGAAGTCAATCACGCTTAAAGGTGGGGTAGGTCATGTTGGAGAAACCAGCTCGAGTGCCACTTCCTTACAGAGCCCCTCCTCCAACACACGAACGCGCACATGACCAATGAGGGCACGAGATAAGTTTGTGCACAGATGGAAGGCTGACAGGCAGGTAGGCCATCCAGTTACTTTAGCCGGGCCGGCTCAGATGATTGGTCGTGCTTTTTACAGTACCACGGCTTCTAGATGATATTTTTTTAATGTATTTATTGTCAAAGCACTTCAGATATTCATTGCTATCGGGATGTTAAGAGCATTCCATGGAATATAACAAAAAGTGTTTCTGAAATAAATGACATACCCCACCTTTAAAGAAATACTTCACAACCAAAATAATAATGTGTGTATCCATTACCTTGACATCTCGAAGAACATTTAGTTTTTCTCGCATGCCTTCACGGTGAACTAAGTATTCGTAACAAACAAAAGTCTTGGGGTCAACGTTTGACAACAGAAATGTACATTTATTTAAAAAATCTACAACCAAACTACAGTATTATCCAAGTCTTATTTATGCAGTCCCAAATGTATTAAATACTTTAGAACATTGAGTGAATATTTGACAAAAAATCTTTTTGTGGGCGAACTATTTCCTTAAAGATATTTTGTTTCAATTGCTGCCACTCCCACCATTAGAACCGATTTATTTTATGGTTTATATCATAGGCGAAAATCTATCACTGCAATGACGTTGCAATCTAAGATACAGTCACGAACTTCAAGATCAAGATCAAAAGGACTATTGAGTTTCGAGGAAATGCAAAAATACAGGAAGATGCAAAATAATCTCTAGTTTTTCTAGTTATTGACAATCAATACATAAGAAGAAGTCAATATGTTGAAAACCTTGTTTTATGAATGTATAACCATGGTTTAATGGCTTTAAATCCCTGCCCACAAATGGGGCGAAGCCTGCGAGCTAGTTCAGGCAGTCAACTCGAGCACTTATACTGCATTCATTCATAACACCCCTTGCCACTCTACAACCAACCAAACAGAGTCTCCTTAATACGCCGCTCTATTTAACCTGCCAGATCTCTCTCTATGCATTGCTTGCTGCTGCTATTGCTGCAGCTACCTCTACGTTGCTGCTGCTTGCCTGCCCCACCACCACCCCAGCTTCCACCTGTAGGCTCGGGGGTTAGTTATTTAATCATCACTCATCGTGCTATGTATATCTATGGAGTGATGATGCCCGAGCCTAGTCGCCAAACTCAACTATATGCTGCTTCTAATAAACATGTTAAAGGAACACGTGAGTTGTCTGACTGAACTTCAAATATCCCACGAGTCAAGTATTACAAGGCTTCTGGAGAGGATAGGGCCACATCTGACTTTTTTGTCAGAAATCCAAATTTAAATTGAAAAAGAAAAATCACATTTGGTCAGATCCAAAAAAAAGATGTTTACAAGTCCTCTTCTGTAGAATGCAGTCATATGAGGCTACTGATTTATTTGTTCATGCACTTTCATTAAAAGTAATAACAACTCAGTGAACATGTGTCTTTGGTGATAGAAATGTGATTGAACATCATTACTGGAAGAAAAACAAAACAGTGTCTATGTATTTCTGTTTGGCTGCAAAGTACAACGTTTAGATTTGATGTTTGAGCCGTAAACATGGTTTCAAATGTTTGAATTTTAAACAAACAACCAACAACAAAGTTATGGATACCATTATTAGTTAATATAATTAAATAGATAATAAAAGCAAGTTAAATAAAAAAGCACAATATATGTTGTACAATTACAACATGATTTACAATGTGCACATTTACATATTTGGCAAGGGGTTCCAGTTCAATAACCATGGTTACAGGACATTTGTGAGAAACACATTTTGATATAATTTCTGATACTTTAACATTGACGACATGTAGGTCTATCCATTTTTACATAACTCTGTTGAGAATAACATGCCCTTCATGGTGCACATATTTATTTCGTTTGGTGGAGTTAAAGAGTCCATATTCTGCAAATGTTCAGGTTTATATTTGTATGCAGTGTCTCTACTGATGCATGTCTCCATGCCTTAATGTTCAAAAAGCTCTTTATTCTTCTCACACTGTCTGTGCTGCAGCACCTCTTTTCACCCTCTGTCTGAAACCAGTGCCCAGTCTGCTCTGATTGGTTAGCTGGCCCGCTCTGTTGTGATTGGTCAACTGCTTAAAGATGTCTCGCAACATAGCCTATCACGTACAATGTGTTGGAGAGCTAGCCAATAGAAGCATGATTGTTACATAGTGATGTCACTATGTTACATAAGTAAACAGATGAGTCCAATGGAGGCGTTTCAGGCATGGCAGAGACAGAGTGTGTGGGAGAGGGAACTTTGGGATTTTAGCCTTTGCAGACCATTTACATGCACTAAAACCTATAGAACACAATACAGGAAAAGGAAAGCATAGAGCAATTTAATATTATGTGATCAAATAACATATGCATTCATCAAGGAATTTAACAATAATAAGCAAGTAAACCAGGGGGCTGTCGGAGGGGGGGGGGGGGGGTCCACTGAGGTTTCAGACTTTGGTGATTTTCTTCACTGTCAGACGGATGTTGGCCTCAGGTGCAAACAGCTGGATTAAAGTGTGCAGCTGAAAGACACAATCATTTTCATGTTCTGGTCACATCAGGTTCTGCACAGAATGTCACAAAGCACTAAGTACTGCATTGTTTCTCAGGATATGTTTTCAGAAAGAGAGTTGGACATGAATGTGGATTTGTGAAGACGGAGCGAGGCTAGCTACCTCCTGCAGGGTCGGACCTATGTTGGTCAGATTCAGCTCCTGGGTGGACTGGAGAGCCGCCACCAGGACTGCCAAAGCTGTGGGACCTATAAAAAGATACGTATTAAAGTCATGTCAGTCGTTAGGTTGAATGAAATTATGCAAGCCTGAATGCACTTACCGTCAACAGGAACAGCCTCGTTCAGCGGGGCGGGGCCTGTCTGGGGTGTCTCTGGAAACAAACAACATTATGTCATTTTATAACCAGTTTTTAATAAGCTACGCTTTCTGCCTTCCATCTTTAACTAAGTTTGTGTTATTTTACATGTGGAACATAATAATACAGGATTACCTTGAGACGTTTTTATTTATTTTGTATTTACTTTGAAACCTTATATTCTTATACATTGTGTAGCTTTTTCAACATAAGATTTCGGTACTTTACCCAAAATGATGTGCTATTTTCTATAAGCCATGGTTTGTGCCTTCCAGCTTTAAGTATATTTTCTTGAACCTTGAGATACATGTATATGTACTGTATGATTTCATTGAGCCTTGAATGTTTGTATCCATTTTTTAAAATCTTTATTTATCATGACGTTTGTAATATTCTTTCCATAAGATAAGAGCTATTTGATGATGAAACTGTAAAGCTAATTTATTTTTACAAGCTGTATTGTCTGCCTTCCTTGCTATAAATTACTTTGTGTTCTAGTACCTTGACTGTACATAATATTAATATTGAATTACCTTTATCATAACGTTTTGTAGTTATTTTGCCATAAGATTAGAGGTATTTGACCAAGAATGATGGTATAGCTATTTTTTATTTATATGCTATATATTATTCTGGCTTCCGGTTCAACTCACTTGACTCAACATATTAATATTGAATTAGCTTGAGACTTTAATTCTTTATAATTATATCATATTGTGTTACCCCTTATTTATCATAAAGTTTGTAGTTAAATTAAATATATATAAGATTTGATTTCTTACCATAAAACGTTGTATTTCTATATATTATTTTTATAAGCACTCTCTGCTTCACGGCTTTTTGCTTTATTGTAAGCTGTATTTATTAATAGTGAATTATCCTGAGACTAGAATTTTGTTGTAGGTTATATACGGTATATATTTTAAACCTGATTCATCATAATCTTTGTAAAATGTTTTGCACTTAAAATGTCACCTCTTGACCAAAAATGATGTAATTGTAGTATAGTAAAGCATTGTTTATAAGCTCTCTGCCTTCACGCTACAACTCACATTGTTTCATGTACCTTGTCTGTATACATTAATGAGGAATTAGTAACGATGTAGATTTCAGATCCAAATAGGATCTCGTGTTCTCACCTGTCTGAGCAGCAGTCAGCGAACATCCAGCCACCAGCAGCAGCAGCAGCAGCAGCATGTTGGAGCTCTATCCGAACACAGTGAAATCTGAGAGCAGTTGTGTCCCCGCAGAGCGTCTGTCTGACTGTGACCTGTTCCAGGGAATGAGAGAGGTGTGGCTGCAGACAACAATACAGGTCAATCAACAAGTTACCTGGACTGGACCAAACCCAAAGACCAAACAAAGATTAAAACAACAATGGCATGTCTGTAATGCTACTTCCTCAAAGCCAAAATTATGCCCTGAAAAAGTTTGAATCCAGCTTGAAAAAAACTGCTGAAACACCGCTCTACATTTTAGTTAAATAAAAAGCAAAAGAGATAGATGTTAATAGTTTTTTCCTTTTGAATGTAGATGTATTTATTGAAAGCATTTTCACGTAGAATTTTTTTTTTTTTTTTAAATACTAAATAATATTGTATTTAAAAGAACAATTTTCACAAAAAGTAAAAACAAAAGAATTAAGATAAGAGGGTCAATGTTCTTTTTTAAATAAAGGTAAAGTGAGTTTTTTTTACAATAAATAGGTTTATTTATTATACCATTTTCACAAAGAAAAAACATGGAGATAAAAGATAAGAGTTTGTATAGTTTGTCTTTATTTGAGTCACACTGTGGGAACATCCAGTATTTTAAGATTCACATTAATAAATATAATAACTACAAAGTCCTAAGAACAATATATACTAAAATCACCAATAAAATACTTTTTGTTGCATTAAAATGAACTGAACACTGCATCTCATCATGTGATTAAACGCCACTCTGTGCAACCATAACAACCTCAAACTATAATATCCTCCTTCTCTTGCTCTTCATCCCCAGCAGTAAGATAATACATCTGCATCACTGCGGCTTTCTTAACTTCCTGCTGCTGCTGCTGCCGCCGCTGCTCGCAGAGCTGGATCCTCTGGAGGTGGTGAGAGGGGAGGAGGTCAGATCCAGGCCCAGCTCCACAGTCTTCATCAAAGGGGGGTGCAGAGCCGAGGCCCGGGGGCTGCTGCCGGCTGAGGACGCGGGAGACCTTCACCGCAGAGAGGAAACAGAGATACAGGCAGAGCGGTTATATGTCGTGTTGGTCAGTCATTATAGACGGTAACCTATTCATGTTAATAATGTATTTAAGATTAAGTAGTTTATTGTACAAAAAAAACAGGATAGTTTTTGGGATATCCTCCCAATAACCTGTTTGATTCAGTTGCTATATCAACTACTAAAATGTGACATCATTTAAAATACTTCTTAAACTGGTAAATGTTTATAAGCTCGGCTTGGTTAAAGCATAACATGTGGGTTAGTCACAAACCCTACAACCATGCCTTTGCCAGACATAACTTTGCAGTATTTACGGAATTGAGCATGAAAGCATCGCAATCTCATCCATTAGCTGTAAACTCCGTTATTTAGCCAAGCAGGACTGTGCCGCCAATGAAGCTACGAGCTAACAGCTAACTCCTAACTATAACTAACGGTCCTCCTGCAGATTTTTAAATGGATGTAGCATTATCACCATCGTTGCATAGCCCCTTCTAGACCATGGCCGTGCACGGGCTGGAATGAAAATCAGTTTTATGGATACAAGGCTCCCATTTACAGACATCACATTTGATGCTAATCCCATGCATTTTGGGGCAAAAATAAGTTGTTTTATCCACAATGTTATTTTTGACCCATTTATAAAGGGTATATTTAAATATGTTTGCATGCTCAAGTCCCTAAATAGTTTGGAAACTGCATCAATTGTGTAGAAAATATATATAATATTTTTTATAAATTGTAATTATTATATAAAATGTGCTGAGAAGAGAAGTCCTCGCCGTCCAATCCACTTCTTGCAGGAATCTCCAAATGTTAAAAGTTACCAAAGTTGAGCAGGGATTTTTCCGTTGGATTTTGGATGAATTGTTGACCATTTATGTCAACTAACGAGTGTTTAAAAGTGGTTGGATTTTGCATCAAATCTTTGTAATAAATGGTGTCAACCCAACCATTTCTGCAACAACCTATAAAACACCATAAAGCATGGCCATCATGCTATGTTCTAAGCCCTAATACCACACACTGTAATCTTTGAACATTTCACTTTGCTGCGCTGTATCTTCAGGATCCCAGCTTTGACATCTTGTATCACTTCTGTGTCGCATTTACTGTCGACCCTTAAAAACAAAAGACAGAAATGGATCTATGGTTGGGAGAAAGAGGTTGAGAAGAGACCCTTTCTGACCTGAGAGAGGCCGAGCTGTGGGGGGAGCTCGTCTTGGAGCTCCGCTGGCTGGAAGGAGTAGAAGTCGGAGATGGAAGAGACAGATTGGCCTGAGACAGAAAAAAAGGGAAGTTCATATTTAAATGAAATCCCTTGAACTACCTCAAAAATCACAGTAATGCACAGCCAGTCAAATGCTTAACAATCCTCCGAATATAAAAACAGCATAACACCTGCAGGAAGTATTCCTCCACCACTGATCTGAGGTCAGGTTTGTCTTCCATGGTGTCATACAGCTTCTTGTTGATACTCTTATTAAATTCTTTCAACTCCCTCAGCTTAATATCCTTCTCCTCAAAAGTCTCAGTGCTGGTGTTTTTTGCTGAGCGGATCTCTTTGGTCAGCTTAGAGCACTGGGGAGGACAACGTCAAATTAAAATGTGATTATGGAGACAGCTAATACATGTTTGGATACCCAATACAAGTGGGACAGTGGACATCCAACCTGCTTTGTGGCTCTGTCGACCTTCTCCTGCTGACTACAGATTTCTTTGTTCAGTTTACCCATGAGGGACTGTTTGTGCTCTATCTTTTCTGTCTCCGCCTGCTCTTCTTGCCGCAGACTCTCCCAGGTATTGTTCATGTCCTGGAAATGGAGAGTGACAATCACACAAGAACAAACTAATGCAAGGCCCAGAGACAGATTGATACCAGGTCAACTTCACAGAATAACTCACAAAGACAGAGTTGCTAAACGTGGGGACATGAAAAGACAACAGAACAAGAGACTTGTATGACACTGAAGAGGAGAGACAGGAATGAAGAAAGAGCGGTTTTAGGGGGGAATTAGAAACACAATAAAAGCAGGAAATGCAAATAATATGTCTGGGGTTTTCCCTCTCCTGTAGTGTGTTCTATCGGTTTGAGTGCATGTAAATGGTCTGCAAAGGCTAACATCCCTGTGTCCCCTCCAGAGGGAGTTTCTCTCCCACACTCCCCCCCTGCCTGAAACGCCTCCATTGAACTCCATTGTTGACATCCGTAATATAATGACATCACTATGTAACACTTCTATTGGCTAGCTCTCCAACACATTATACGTGATAGGCTGAGCCGGCCAGCTAACCAATCAGAGCAGACTGGGCTCTGGTTTCAGACAGAGGGTGAAAAGAGGTGCTGCAGCACAGGCAGTATGAGAACAATAAAGAGCTTTCTGAACATTAAAGCATGGAGACATGTCCCAGGAGAGACACTACATACTGATATACACCTGAACATGAGCATATTATGTCCCCTTTAAATTGTGAGCTACCCCCCCCCCTAGAGGAAATCTCCAATACCTGCTTCACACACCATATGGATTAAAAATGGTTGAGCAATAATTTTACCCTGTATTGTGAAGTGTCGTCCAGCAGACTGAAACACAACTTATACTTTATGTTTTAGTATTTTTCATGACTATTATCATACATATATTGGTGTTTTTTTATTTGACTAATGTTATCCTTAGTTTTGGTGCTTGTGGTTTGTAGTATTTATCCTTTCTTGGTGTTGTCATTGTTCCATCTTGCTTTGTACTTGCTCCTTTGCTTTATCACTATTATATTGACCAAATGCTTTTGTGTTGTATATCTGTTCTATTCGGAAAATATCAATGAATGTATTGGGAGAAATACGTTTTCTAGGCCACTTTTGGAAGATGTATTCCAATTGAAAGGAAATAGGTGCAGTGTTATAGGATAGGTCACAGATAAAGGAGGATGTATTTAGTAAGGGCGGCTATAATTAGAATGAACCTGTACGTCCTGTTGGAGCTCTTGGACCTGTCTTTTCTTGTACTTCAGTGTCACTTCTGCCGCCCTCAACTGCTCTTGCAGTTTCACTTTTTCCTGGTGCTCTGGACCTAATACAAAAACGTTGTGGTCAATGATAGCTGCTGTAATGATTTTAAAGGAGAATAAACAAACATAAATCACTTCCTGCTGATCATCCCCAATAGAGTGTTGTTGTTTATTTAAGTTCATTCTGTCTACCCGGTCATACGTACTGGATTCATTGACTTTGTTGAGGGATTTGCGAAATGATGAGTTGCTGTTGTTGAACAGCTGGATGGTGTTCTCCAGAGCTCTGTTTTCCAGCTCCATCTTGCGGATTGTAGCATCCAGACTGTCCCCCTTCCTCTTGAGCTCCTCTTTCTCTTGTGCAGCCTAAAGAAAAGCAAACAAAGTCAATCAAAGTGAAACAAATCTGTCTGTTTTTAACATGGCGGTGTGTTCAAAGACCTCTCTTACCTTTATAATGTAGTAAGCCTGCGTTTCTTCCTTTTCCCCCTCAGGAGCTGCCATTGAAAGCATTACAATCTCGAAGCGTTTCTTCATCAAGTCGATTTTGGACAGTTTGTCATTCAGTTCAGCACTGACAGAAAAACACTCTTAGTAAGGTGATCTTTTGAGGTACACATTTTCTCAAAATCATGCAAATAAGACATAAAACACAACTCAGTGCAACGTTTGACCTCTATCTCACTCGTGGGCCTCTGTAATATGAAGCCTCCACCAAATGAAGCAAAATATGTTATTGCATTGTTCAACACATTCCAATAGAGAGGCCAAGTCCCGCCCATCTTCTTCCGATGGGACCTTATTTCGGAAAAAGTATGCATTGAAGTCAATGGGGAGAGAAAGATTATCTTTCGATCCCGTTTGAATTGTGCCACGAATTACACATATGATGTTTGTCAATCTTAAAAAATCATTTCCATGTCAAAAAAGTGTCGTAAAACTGTTGAAATATAAGACTATAGACAATACGCAACTAGAAAGACTACAAATCCCAGAGTTGCGTAAGTGATGTCATTAACGTTACACATTACACTCGTGTTACTCACCGAAACCTTGTAAAGCCGGTCCCGCATCCTGGCTCTTACGGAACCGACTAACTCCCCTTGTGTGTATGTACAGCTCTCAACATGCCCAGACTTGGAGTGATTTTCACCTCTTTTCATACTTTTCGCCTCATTCTGGAAGAAAGAAGTGAAATGTGCCAACGTGACGGCCGTCTTGGTGTGTGGTGCGAGACGGGAGATGTAGTTCATTGAGCAGTTTCACACAAAATAGTGTTACTTCACAGTTTTACTACACGTTTTTTTTTTTTTGACTTGCAAAATTATCTTTTAAATTGACAAACATCATATGTGTAATTCGTGGCACAATTCAAACGGGATCAAAAGATAATCTTTCTCTCTCCATTAACTTCAATACATACTTATTCAGAAATAAGTTCCCATGGAGGTCCACCGGAAAGGAGGGACTTCGCCTCTCTATAGCCTTAGGGAATCAAACCTATTCGAGGGCTTCTCGTAGTAGTGTTTTTATATTTTGGATACTAGTCAAATGTACCTAACCCTAACCCCTCCCCTTTGGAAATGGTCTAAAATAGTCATATTTGGCCACACAATCAGATCTTTAATGACATAAAGACCTTGCAAGATAACTGAGAACAGAGAAGAGAGATGTTGGAAGGTTTTAGGAAACGTCAGTCTTTTTCAGTTTGTGGCCTATAGCGATAAGCTGTGAAAGCTAGCTACCCTATTGCTAACAAAATAGCATCGAGCCATACTGGAAAGTGGGTTTTTGAAGACATGCATGTTAAAGGCTGAAGTCATTATCTGTCAGCCTGACCATAAACTCTGATGCAGGAGATTTGGACAGCCAGTTTATACACACGTTAAGCATTTCATGGAATGTTTGGTTGCAATTGATGAGAGCGTTAACATTACTGTTCAGGACATATTGAGCTATTTCCTATCTTTAAGTATATGTATATGTTTAAATATATTCAAACACTAACTTTGCACAAATCTCTCCTCCTGTCTGGTCATTATCTTCTTAGGTAAATATCGCTACATAACTTCAATAACTGACTGGTGCTCTCTGGTATGTGAGGTAAAGGAGATATTTCTGAAGATATATCATGCATTTATCATGTGTTTTATATAATTTGATTGAATGTACTTCCTTACATTAAAAGAAAGGAAAACACTCCAAGGGATTGCTATTCCAATGGCACCATGAGATGCATTGTCCAGCCCATTTGAGCTCACACTGGCATGAGGCCTTTGAGCCCTAAACAGCGAGAAAAAGGAACAAATGCTCCAGGAAGTGAGATGTCTCTGCTGGGCTTTTACCTGAGTTTCTGCCTCTCGTGCTCACTGATCTTCATCTGCTGGCCGAGCATTTCTCGGTACACCTTGACCTCCTCCTCTCTGTCCTTTATGGCTTTCTGCAGCTTCAGCTTCCTCTTCTCCAGAGACAGCACGCTGCCCGTCTTGTCGTACAGCAGATCCCTCAGACGCTTCACCTCTAGCTTCATGACGTTGTGCTCCACCATGTTGTCCTGATTAGGAACATGTGAGGTTCATATAATGTAGGGCAGAAGGTGATCCTTTTCAGATGCATGGCATAGTGTCTGCTATATGTGAGCGTAATCTACAGACAGCTGACATCTGTTTTAGTTATTGTGTATGTTTCGGAGTTTGCTTCTCTTTGTAGTCTCTTTGTAGTTCTTTTCCCTCTTTTTCTCCTGCAGCTGTTTTTCGTATCATTATAGTGGTTTTGTGTTTCTTGGTAGTCACTTTGTGTCTCTTGGTAGTCACTTTGTGTTTCTTGGTAGTCACTTTGTGTCTCTTGGTAGTCACTTTGTGTCTCTTTGTTGTCACTTTGAGTCTCTTTGTAGTCACTTTGTGTTTCTTTGTAGTCACTTTGTGTCCCTTGGTAGTCACTTTGAGTCTCTTGGTAGTCACTTTGTGTCTCTTGGTAGTCACTTTGTGTCTCTTTGTTGTCACTTTGAGTCTCTTTGTAGTCACTTTGTGTCCCTTGGTAGTCACTTTGAGTCTCTTGGTAGTCACTTTGTGTCTCTTGGTAGTCACTTTGTGTTTCTTGGTAGTCACTTTGTGTCTCTTGGTAGTCACTTTGTGTTTCTTGGTAGTCACTTTGTGTCCCTTTGTTGTCACTTTGAGTCTCTTGGTAGTCACTTTGAGTCTCTTGGTAGTCACTTTGTGTTTCTTGGTAGTCACTTTGTGTTTCTTGGTAGTCACTTTGTGTCTCTTGGTAGTCACTTTGTGTTTCTTGGTAGTCACTTTGTGTCCCTTGGTAGTCACTTTGAGTCTCTTGGTAGTCACTTTGTGTCTCTTGGTAGTCACTTTGTGTTTCTTGGTAGTCACTTTGTGTCTCTTGGTAGTCACTTTGTGTTTCTTGGTAGTCACTTTGTGTCTCTTGGTAGTCACTTTGTGTTTCTTGGTAGTCACTTTGTGTCTCTTTGTTGTCACTTTGAGTCTCTTTGTAGTCACTTTGTGTCCCTTGGTAGTCACTTTGAGTCTCTTGGTAGTCACTTTGTGTCTCTTGGTAGTCACTTTGTGTCTCTTGGTAGTCACTTTGTGTTTCTTGGTAGTCACTTTGTGACTCTTTGTTGTCACTTTGAGTCTCTTTGTTGTCACTTTGAGTCTCTTGGTAGTCACTTTGTGTTTCTTTGTAGTCACTTTTAGTCTCTTGGTAGTCACTTTGAGTCTCTTGGTAGTCACTTTGAGTCTCTTGGTAGTCACTTTGAGTCTCTTTGTAGTCACTTTGAGTCTCTTGGTAGTCACTTTGAGTCTCTTTGTAGTCACTTTGTGTCCCTTGGTAGTCACTTTGAGTCCCTTGGTAGTCACTTTGAGTCTCTTTGTAGTCACTTTGTGTCTCTTGGTAGTCACTTTGAGTCTCTTTGTAGTCACTTTGAGTCTCTTTGTAGTCACTTTGAGTCTCTTGGTAGTCACTTTGAGTCTCTTGGTAGTCACTTTGAGTCACTTTGAGTCTCTTGGTAGTCACTTTGAGTCTCTTTGTAGTCACTTTGAGTCTCTTTGTAGTCACTTTGTGTCCCTTGGTAGTCACTTTGAGTCTCTTTGTAGTCACTTTGAGTCTCTTGGTAGTCACTTTGTGTTTCTTTGTAGTCACTTTGTGTCTCTTGGTAGTCACTTTGAGTCTCTTGGTAGTCACTTTGAGTCTCTTTGTAGTCACTTTGTGTCCCTTGGTAGTCACTTTGTGTCTCTTGGTAGTCACTTTGAGTCTCTTGGTAGTCACTTTGTGTTTCTTGGTAGTCACTTTGTGTTTCTTGGTAGTCACTTTGAGTCTCTTGGTAGTCACTTTGTGTCTCTTGGTAGTCACTTTGTGTCTCTTTGTAGTCACTTTGTGTTTCTTGGTAGTCACTTTGTGTCTCTTGGTAGTCACTTTGTGTTTCTTTGTAGTCACTTTGTGTCTCTTGGTAGTCACTTTGTGTTTCTTGGTAGTCACTTTGTGTCTCGTGGTAGTCACTTTGTGTCTCTTGGTAGTCACTTTGTGTTTCTTGGTAGTCACTTTGTGTCTCTTGGTAGTCACTTTGTGTCTCTTGGTAGTCACTTTGAGTCTCTTTGTAGTCACTTTGAGTCCCTTGGTAGTCACTTTGAGTCTCTTGGTAGTCACTTTGTGTCTCTTGGTAGTCACTTTGTGTTTCTTGGTAGTCACTTTGAGTCTCTTGGTAGTCACTTTGTGTTTCTTGGTAGTCACTTTGTGTCTCTTGGTAGTCACTTTGTGTTTCTTTGTTGTCACTTTGTGTTTCTTGGTAGTCACTTTGTGTTTCTTGGTAGTCACTTTGTGTTTCTTTGTAGTCACTTTGTGTCTCTTTGGTAGTCACTTTGTGTCTCTTGGTAGTCACTTTGTGTTTCTTGGTAGTCACTTTGAGTCTCTTGGGTAGTCACTTTGTGTTTCTTGGTAGTCACTTTGTGTCCCTTGGTAGTCACTTTGTGTTTCTTTGTAGTCACTTTGTGTCTCTTGGTAGTCACTTTGTGTCTCTTTGTAGTCACTTTGTGTTTCTTGGTAGTCACTTTGTGTTTCTTGGTAGTCACTTTGTGTCTCTTTGTAGTCACTTTGTGTCTCTTGGTAGTCACTTTGTGTTTCTTGGTAGTCACTTTGTGTCTCTTGGTAGTCACTTTGTGTCTCTTGGTAGTCACTTTGTGTTTCTTGGTAGTCACTTTGTGTCTCTTGGTAGTCACTTTGTGTCTCTTTGTAGTCACTTTGAGTCCCTTGGTAGTCACTTTGTGTTTCTTGGTAGTCACTTTGAGTCTCTTGGTAGTCACTTTGTGTCTCTAGGTAGTCACTTTGTGTCTCTTGGTAGTCACTTTGTGTTTCTTGGTAGTCACTTTGAGTCTCTTGGTAGTCACTTTGTGTTTCTTGGTAGTCACTTTGAGTCTCTTGGTAGTCACTTTGTGTTTCTTGGTAGTCACTTTGAGTCTCTTGGTTGTCACTTTGTGTTTCTCGGTAGTCACTTTGTGTCTCTCGGTAGTCACTTTGTGTTTCTCGGTAGTCACTTTGTGTTTCTTTGTAGTCACTTTGTGTCTCTTGGTAGTCACTTTGAGTCTCTTTGTAGTCACTTTGAGTCTCTTGGTAGTCACTTTGTGTCTCTTTGTAGTCACTTTGTGTCTCTTGGTAGTCACTTTGTGTCTCTTGGTAGTCACTTTGAGTCTCTTGGTAGTCACTTTGTGTTTCTTGGTAGTCACTTTGTGTCTCTTGGTAGTCACTTTGTGTTTCTTGGTAGTCACTTTGTGTCTCTTGGTAGTCACTTTGTGTTTCTTGGTAGTCACTTTGTGTTTCTTGGTAGTCACTTTGAGTCTCTTGGTAGTCACTTTGTGTTTCTTGGTAGTCACTTTGTGTCTCTTGGTAGTCACTTTGTGTTTCTTGGTAGTCACTTTGAGTCTCTTGGTAGTCACTTTGAGTCTCTTGGTAGTCACTTTGTGTTTCTTGGTAGTCACTTTGTGTCTCTTGGTAGTCACTTTGTGTTTCTTTGTAGTCACTTTGTGTCTCTTGGTAGTCACTTTGAGTCTCTTTGTAGTCACTTTGAGTCTCTTGGTAGTCACTTTGTGTTTCTTGGTAGTCACTTTGAGTCTCTTGGTAGTCACTTTGTGTTTCTTTGTAGTCACTTTGTGTTTCTTGGTAGTCACTTTGTGTCTCTTGGTAGTCACTTTGTGTCTCTTGGTAGTCACTTTGTGTCTCTTGGTAGTCACTTTGAGTCTCTTGGTAGTCACTTTGTGTCTCTTTTGTAGTCACTTTGTGTGTTTTGTTGGTAGTC